AAGCCATATCCGGACCGTGGTCCGTATTTTCCGTATCAGGACCGGTGTCCCGGATGTCGTTTATCTGGCGGGACATTTTTGCTTTGCAAACAGAAAAAAATTTTGCTTTTTAAATTTCCAATTGTGCTTTACAGATAACAATTTCAAATGACCAAATTGTTTTTGATTGAGCATGCATGCCTACCGTATATTGTTACCCAGTGAAACTGACGATTTAATTCGCGCGAATTGAAAAGCATATGCTCACAGACTCAGTTCAGCCATATATAATAAACCGATTATTGACCTCGCTTGTTCGGTCTGTACTGTGAAATATCAGACCTCTGTTTTTTGCATGGACCTCTCTCCTTCGTTGCTCGGTCCATACTAAAAAACCTCGATCCGATATTTCAAAGTACAGACCTCACGCTCGGTCAATAACCCTTTAATATTTCTAAAATTCACATATAGAATAGTCGTCGCATGCAAATCGATCATTTCTTTGTGTGAAACTCTTAGGTTTATAATTAAAACGGGAATTATTTTCATTATAAAACAACAAGTCAGCACTATTTAAAGTACGAAAATGTCAGCAAGTGAAAATGTCATTTAATTCTGCCTAACACAAGCTCCAAAACTAAGGCGCTTTTTTACAATATTTCCAAACGTTTCCCGAGAAAGACGCCGTATAGCCATCATACATACGTATCGAATCATTTGAATGCTGATTAAAAAATTCCATTGCTAAGAATTCGAAAGGGTGAAAACATATTCATTTCACATATCTAAGGCTGGTATACGTTAATTTAGGGTATTATAATTAGTTGCGGTAGCAATCATGTGTTAGTAAAATGATCCGCGGTCCGGGCCGCGGGCCGCCGTCCGCGGTTCGCCGTCCGCGGTCCACCGTTCGCGGTTCGCCGTCCGCGGTCCGCCGTCCGCGGTCCGTCCGACTTTTATCTACACCTCAATCCTCGGCATTTACTGTGGCATTTCCTACTATAACACCTTCATGAAACCACTCGAATAGACTCAGAAATCATGCAAGTTGGTCTACCTCACCATACGCCTACAGTTGACAATAAAGATATGGTCTGATGTCCTTGGACATACCTAATATATGTTTGGACGGTCAATAGCAAAAGTTTTAATAATTCCTTTACCCAGTTCTGAGTCCTTTATACATGTTCAAACAAAGTATTGCATGCTGATTAGCGCGTTTTACGAGGTTTATTCAGTAATTGTCAGCGCATGACATTCCATGATATTTTTATTCCCAATGTGGTGCATACATTATCTTTGTTAATTGTTTTAGTCCAAACAGCTTGCTTAATGTTCTATATACTAAAATAACAATATACAGATATTAACTCTTATCCTCTGCGTGGAAATATCAACACCAACTGTTGTGAACTAACAATGGCCATATCGTATTATTCATTTACCATCTTTGTTTTGGGTTTTGTTTTATATTTTGTACATAATTCAGTAATTATTTAATCATATTTTTGTTCAATCAATATATCATTTTTATATAATATCAAACCCTACACGTTGTTATCAATAATTTTCCTCACAATTCAATAATTGCCTCACGCCCCTATCCCAGTCATTCAAGCCACTGGCACCATATTTGGATGAAATCACCTACAGTCACATGATCACGCTACTGAATAAATCTTACTCCACCCCTTCCATCATAAGCATTCAAACTCACTATACCGTTGAGTCAGTTTTACCCTAAAGGACTAGCAAATTGCTTCGCTCCAAGAATATAGTTAAAAGAAGAACAATAAAGTACGTAATGTTGGAATGTCCCGCAACAACAAGACCATTGGTAGGATAATTTTACTAATAACATATTCAGTAATTTCATTCTTTTCACCTTCTTTCTACCTTCATTTTTGTATCGTGTAATTTATTATAACTTCGTAATAATTTTTTTTCTCTGGATTGACATATGTTCAGTGCTCCTAAACTCTCCTGCATTTAGCTTCACTCTGCGAACTCTATCTACACCCCCCCTAAAAAAACCCTGCTGAAGAAGACTGTTAGGTCGAAACGCGTACAGGGTTGCCTTTCCTATTCCAATTCAATCTCTCGCTCTTATATATCCTCGCCCTCATCGTGTCACATAAAATTCACATATTCAGTTACTATCTAATCGTAGTTTCCCTTGTTTTTTTGCGTACATGTTCACCATCACAGGAGTCGGAGTAAATAAATAAAGGATAACCGTTTGAACTGCTGGTCCTCATTATTTAGGCTACACAATGTCTTACACCAGTACTTGTCCAATTACCTATTTCATACCAATCAATGAACGGGAATGTTGCGAGAGTTAAGAAAAGCGCGCGAAACACGAGCCGAAGGCGAGTGATTTTGCGCGCTTTTCTTAACTCGAGAAACATTCCCAAGTGTTTGGATCAAGCCATCCAAACACGGAAACCATAAAGTAATTGTTTTATAAAATAACAGCAACACGATAGTCTTTCGTGTTTGGATGGCCTGATCCAAACACGGGTTTCGACCAATCAGAGCATGCGTTATATACATGTTATTTTATAAAGTATTTTCACCAAAATATGTGCACCGGGGAAGGCTGATATTCAAATCACACTGTCGTCTCGTTGTCTTAAGGCCCGTTTAAGGCCCACACACACTGGACACGATTCGACAACGTGACGCGATTTTTTAGTTTTTGAAAATTAATAAAACAGTCAATGAGAAGAGCAAATTTTAAAAGATATGTAGACCAAATAACTCAAAATGTTGTAGCGCTTCTAAATATTTGGAAAATTTAAACTAGGATCAAAGTTATCGTTTAGTGAAAATTGAACCTTTACACATCATATTCCGTATCATATATGTTGATACAATTCCATATAATATATGTTGATACGTTCTAATTTAACACGGTTCGTCGCCATATTAGAATGCGAAAGCAACGTGATCAACCACGGCAAAAATAAATAAATAAACTGGAAAGAAAACTGGTCGTGTATTATCTATTGAATCAATTTATAAGGTTATAGGAGGTTAAGGCATAGGCTATATGGTTCAGAAGACTTCCACCAAGCCAATGTGCTTAGTTTACTTTTCGCGGCTTGAAATGCGGGCGTTGTAGGAAAGGCATGAAATATATATTTGATTTGCTAAAACAATGCGAAAATTCTAGGTCTTTAATTATAAGTTATTGATTTCAACTGCCATCCCGCCAACTAAAGTCTATGTTTTTGCTTGAATACAACGTATTGAAATTGTCATACAAAATACTAGATATTTTCCCGCGTAATACAATATGACTGTTATGATGCAAGGTTATATTATCCCCATTTTACAACATTTCGCAACGAAACTTTGGAATATTACTAATTTTGCGATGCTCTTTCAAGTTGTGATGAAATTTTTGTCTAGACTTGTTGAAATCTAAATTTTAGTCAAAAGGTGAAAGGTCCATTCCTGTTAGAAGTTCTTAATTTCCAGTTACAAGTTCCTAACATCCTGTTCTGTTACGTGCATTATAATTGGCTAACAAAAATAATCCACCAAGACAACGCTCAGAACAGAGCAGAAATTAAAGATATTAAAGAGGAAGTTAGAAAAATGTAAAATTAGGAAGTTTCCCTGAGTTGGAATACTGCAATAGCCGATAGGAACATGCACACTCCCTCAAGGGATTTTCAAGGTCAAATTTGCAAAGGTAATGAGGAAAATTGCAATCAAGTTAGGAACTCAAAAGAGGAACGCTTGACGTAGTTTACCTGTAATACCGAGGTTCAGATTTGATTTCCACTACCATTACCTCTCACTGGCTTAGTACGCATCTGATTGCTTAGCTAATATTCCCTTAATTAATGTAGCAGGGATAGTGGAAGTCAAATCTGAGAATCTCTCTATCTAAAATATCAAACTGTGTACAGAAAACAATTTGAAGTAATTCTTAATTTTTACTCATACATCTGTTCCTTCTTGAATGCACTTCTCAACTCATTGTAATCCTGAAATCCAGTTTGTTTACCAACGATGTCCAGCCACTTTGCCTGAATAATTTGTTTAGTTTTGTCATCCATCAACTTTCGTCCTTTCGTTGCAGATCCCGTGGCAACCTTACTGGGTGCAACATCATCAGGTATCCCACAACTTTTATTCCGATAACGTGCGACACGAACCTCTGAAAACTTGCTCTCATTTCCTTTCATAAATTCAAAGGAGCTCATTTTCACAGCCTTCTTAATCCTTTCCTCATCTTGAATTCCCATGAATGCTGCAACCATCCTAACTACAATTTCTAAATCATCTTTCATATCCTCAAAGAACAAAAATAAAACATTCGAGTCATTCCTGTGTTCCCACCAGCTGAGCAAGTGGACAAAATAAGATGCAACATCTGTCTTCTTTTCTGGAGCACCAATAGCGAGTAGAAAATGCTTCACAAATTCATGAAGTGAAATGTCTCCTGATTGAAAAAACCAACCCTTGAAGAAGTTGAAGTAACTGTAGAATGCAGCACATGGTTCACGATAAATAACAATGTATTTAGCGCCCATGGGACACGAAGGATACCATGTATGAGTCTTGTAACATCTAAGAACGAGAACAAAACATATCCTAAATTATACAAGAACGTCTGTGCCAGTGTAGGTAGCAAGATAACAGGAGAGCTGCAACAAAGAGATAACAACTACTTGAAAAATACAAGCCAAACATCGACGTTTCGCAGATGTCTTCGCTAAATTAAACAATGTGCTAAATATAATACATGTACAAAAGGTTCACTATATCAAAAATATGATGTCAATCTTACTGTATCGGCAAAGAAAAGGATATACGGTAGAACAGCATGTTTCTAAATTAATTAAGACATATGGTAAAGGAATTGTTCCCCAATTCTTATGTGATTATTTTAGATTTTAATCATTCACCAATTGACAGTAAGAACAACCTGCCAAAGCAATTTATTGCATCTGCCAAGAGTTAGAACAGAAATGGCAAAGAAACTTTTCACCATAAGGGAGCAAAGGTTTTTAAACGCTTATGTCACAGTCTGCCCTAGATACTTTTAGTCTTTCAATGGATTTAACTTAAGTAATATATTATAATCATATCATATCTACTAGTCTGAAAGCTACCTAGTGTAGTTTTATAACATAATTGATAGAATGTACTATAGAACGTAGTTATATAGGGCTCTCGTTGATAACAGATCAGTTGTGGTCCCTATTAAAATAAAAGTTTTATCTACCAATCATAAATGTATGACACTGACAGGAAAAATAGGTACGCGATGCGTACATGCATCTGCGAAAAAAATTGATTCACATTTTGTATTTTCTTGAAAGGAGCTGAATAATGAAGGTGACATGGGACAATTGAAATATCCCATCACTTATTATAAGGGACCATTCATTATTTATACCCGGGGTTGGTACCGAAGAGATATGGGTTGGGTAATCAAGTTTTTGACTAGCTCATGGGTTGGGTAATAAAAATTGTGGCTGTCTGTCAGCTATATAATAAAACCAAAATTACAGACCATCAGTGATTGAGGAAGGACTCTATTATTGATCAGCAGGAACGTCGTTCCATTGGCACACTCAGTGAGTTTGAGTTTGAGTGAGCTTTTAAAATTTAGGCAACTTGATTTCTGTCACCATAATCTTGTGTGTTTAATTATTATTTTTTTTACATATATACAGTGATCAACTCGAAAGCATTCCGCTACTTTGATCACTGCACACGTTTGTTTAATATAGTAGTTTTAATATGTGGGCTTTGGTTTTTATAACTATATAATTTTTCTGTATTTTATTCTTACTTAGTTTAAATACGTGTGAAATAAATGTGATTCTGATTCTGATTCTACTTAGTACAGTAACACATGAGTTTGGTAAACATTATTTTGACCAATGTTGAGGTTGGGTAAATAAAAAATTTACAGTATCTTTCGCTTCTCTTCAGTACCAACCCCAGGTATAAATAATGAACGGTCCCTAATAAATATAATAGAAAATAAGATTTTAAAGTCAAACATAATACACATTTAACAGGGCTGTACACAGCGGCAAGGGCAGTAGGGGCAAGTCCCCCCTGCCAAGAAAATTTAACTAACTTTATAATGTGATTATGATTGTAACAGATAATTATGCAGTCAGGAAATAAAAATTTCATGCGAACAATATTAGAAGTGTTTATACAGCTGGCTATTTAGTTAACTGTCACTTTAATTGTCAATCCATACTCATCGAATTTTCAAAACTTTATTGTAATCATATATGAAGCAAAAGTTATGTAATTTGTTGTTTACACTTGCCAATGTTAACTGTTGAGTAACATATACAAACTATTCGAGGGACATGCATAACTGTAGCAAAAAGGTCAATCATATATCGAAGACGTACCACTGAATAGTAGAGAATGTTTTGAAGGTCATGAGTGAAGTATATAATTAACTTCCAATCCTATGTACAGTTAATGATATATATATATATATATATATATATATATATATATATATATATATATATATATATATATATATATATATATATATATATATATATATATATATATATATATATATATATATATACCACACTGATCGGTTTACCACAGCATATTCACACAAAATTCTATGGCAGATTTACCAATATCCAATAAACGGTTGAACGAGTTTCGGCGTGCAACAGCTGCGGATCCTAGTGTTTGAGATTGTACCTGTGGTACTCGACTCACACCTTCGGCAATCGCATACTATCCTGCGGGTAGGGCAAGGAAAATGGGCCCTTTGGCAGTTTTGCCCACCACTGAAGAATCCTTAAAAAATGCACTGGGCACTCTGCATTATCCGAAGGTCTCCCAAATCTCGAAACTTTTCCGCTGTTTTCCTAATATGATACCGATTTCGTGTGTAGGTTCTTTCACCGCAACGCACGTCGTACGAACGAGGACCAACTTGCTTAAATAATACAGGTTTCAAGACACCATTTCAGCTCTCCAGGCAATCTCAAGCGAATCGATTTCCTCTGCTTCTAGAGGTACAAAAACACGAGCTTTGACATCGTAATTTTCTTTCTGCTTTTCTTTCGCTTGTTCAGCGCCAGTTACAACTTTCTCAGCATCAATCACACTAGGTTTCAACAGATCTTTTGTCGTTGGAAGGCAAGTCCTAGTTCTTCTCGAAAACAATTTCTGTGACGGACTGACACCATCCGGTTCACTGGGTGTATTCCTAAACTCCAACAATGCAAGATGAACATCAGCTTTCGACAAAAAACGCCTTCTTCATCAATTCTCGACCTTTCCATTCGATTGTGGATACCGAGGAAACGACAGTACCATGCTGAAACTCACACTCATTTGAAAACTCCCTGAACTCTTTGCAAACAAACTGAGGACCGTTATAGGTAAAAACGGCCTCTGAAATCCCGTGACGACTGAATTGCTCCTTCAACTTCTTAACAACTGCGGTAGTAATAGTACTCGTTAAATAATCTACTTCAAAACAGTTAGAAAAATAGTCAACTGTTATCACGTAATTTCTGTTTTTATATATAAATAAATCAACTCCAATCTTAGACCACGGCAAAGCAGGTGAGTCATGGCATAGAAGTGGTTCCTTCAACTCTTTAACACATGACTCGACATTTTAGAACAATATAAAATTTGTCGAGCTCTTCTCAAGCGGCCTTCGACTCCAAGATGGGAACTATGCAGTCGTTTTATCATATCCTCTCGTAACGCTTGTAGAACTACAATTCTTCCTGACTTGAAGAGAAGACCATTTTGGTCATACGAGATCTCACTCTGAAGCGAATAATACGGAATAACATCAGGTGGTATGTATTGTTTTGACGTTGACCAGCCTTTCTCAACATATTCACGAACTTTCTCAAACACTAGGATCCGCAGCTGTTGCACGCCTAAACTCGTTTAACCGTTTATTGGATATTGGTAAATCTGCCATAGAATTTTGTGTGAATATGCTGTGGTAAACCGATCAGTGTGGTATATATATATATATATATATATATATATATATATATATATATATATATATATATATATATATATATATATATATATATATATATATATATATATATATATATATACCACACTGATCGGTTTACCACAGCATATTCACACAAAATTCTATGGCAGATTTACCAATATCCAATAAACGGTTGAACGAGTTTCGGCGTGCAACAGCTGCGGATCCTAGTGTTTGAGAAAGTTCGTGAATATGTTGAGAAAGGCTGGTCAACGTCAAAACAATACATACCACCTGATGTTATTCCGTATTATTCGCTTCAGAGTGAGATCTCGTATGACCAAAATGGTCTTCTCTTCAAGTCAGGAAGAATTGTAGTTCTACAAGCGTTACGAGAGGATATGATAAAACGACTGCATAGTTCCCATCTTGGAGTCGAAGGCCGCTTGAGAAGAGCTCGACAAATTTTATATTGTTCTAAAATGTCGAGTCATGTGTTAAAGAGTTGAAGGCACCACTTCTATGCCATGACTCACCTGCTTTGCCGTGGTCTAAGATTGGAGTTGATTTATTTATATATAAAAACAGAAATTACGTGATAACAGTTGACTATTTTTCTAACTGTTTTGAAGTAGATTATTTAACGAGTACTATTACTACCGCAGTTGTTAAGAAGTTGAAGGAGCAATTCAGTCGTCACGGGATTTCAGAGGCCGTTTTTACCTATAACGGTCCTCAGTTTGTTTGCAAAGAGTTCAGGGAGTTTTCAAATGAGTGTGAGTTTCAGCATGGTACTGTCGTTTCCTCGGTATCCACAATCGAATGGAAAGGTCGAGAATTGATGAAGAAGGCGTTTTTTGTCGAAAGCTGATGTTCATCTTGCATTGTTGGAGTTTAGGAATACACCCAGTGAACCGGATGGTGTCAGTCCGTCACAGAAATTGTTTTCGAGAAGAACTAGGACTTGCCTTCCAACGACAAAAGATCTGTTGAAACCTAGTGTGATTGATGCTGAGAAAGTTGTAACTGGCGCTGAACAAGCGAAAGAAAAGCAGAAAGAAAATTACGATGTCAAAGCTCGTGTTTTTGTACCTCTAGAAGCAGAGGAAATCGATTCGCTTGAGATTGCCTGGAGAGCTGAAATGGTGTCTTGAAACCTGTATTATTTAAGCAAGTTGGTCCTCGTTCGTACGACGTGCGTTGCGGTGAAAGAACCTACACACGAAATCGGTATCATATTAGGAAAACAGCGGAAAAGTTTCGAGATTTGGGAAACCTTCGGATAATGCAGAGTGCCCAGTGCATTTTTTAAGGATTCTTCAGTGGTGGGCAAAACTGCCAAAGGGCCCATTTTCCTTGCCCTACCCGCAGGATAGTATGCGATTGCCGAAGGTGTGAGTCGAGTACCACAGGTACAAGTTAGCTAGGGGAAGGGGGTCTTGGGGCATGCATCCCCCCAGGAAATTTTAAAAATGGATCTCTGAAATGGCATTTCCTGCATTCTGAGAACACATTTAATAAAAAAATCTCAGTCTCTCAAAACAAAGTTTTAATGGTGAAATTTGTAATAAATTGCATGCTAAACATTCAAACACAATATATTTAGTTTAAGTATGCTCACCAAATGTTATTTTTTAAACTTCTTTCAATGTTAAACTCATTTACTCAATACAGGTCCTATAGAGCCCTGGCTTTGGGGCAATACGCCATTTTTTTTCTTCAGTGGTGGGGCAGAGGCGGGGGCCCAGTGAGGCAAATGCCTCACCAGTCCATGGTATTAAAAAATGCCTTGAGAGTGCCAGACATATTGTAAGCCAATCGTCTCTACTAGTATAATTCAATAACTGACTGGCCCACAATATCCAGCATTATTAAAGAAATCAACCAGAAAACAACCGGACAGATATCAAGCATAAGTAAAACGTATTAGGCATTGTAATCCCCGAGCCGACGGCGCGAAGCGCCGTGTGAGGGTACTAATTCCCCCCGGCTATTTACACCCGGGGAAACGAAAGCATTAGCGAAGTCTAAAGTTCATCAAATATCGCGGGCGTGGCTCACCAACGATGTTTCGGTGGGTAGTCATCCTCACTGATCTTAAAATATGTGGCGGACTGTCAAGAATAATAGCGAAAACTGATTGGTCCAATTTAAAGTTTGCATTATAACGACTGCATGACGACATCGAAATAGCAAACATTTCTTGATTTGATGATTGATAAATTTCTTGCAAATATATTTCATATTTGTTGGCATTTTTGCAAGATTTTGTAAATTTCAAGAAAGAAAGGGCGAAAGAAGTGAGCCGACGTTAACGAAGGTAAGTTTGTTTTAAATATTGATTTTATAATGGCTTTAATTTAAAACCCGACGGCCTTTGCGTATATGAAACAACTAAACAAGACAGCATATAATTTCAGTGTCTTTAGTAATATTGATTCCCTTTTTTATGATATTGAATTTTTTAAATAAAACAGAAGGCAGAGTTATTTGCTAGCGAGAATTTGAAATCATTTTATTGCAAACTCAAAGTTTATCGATAAAGCCAATTTAAAAGGCAGTTTTATAGTTTTTATATAAAGAACACTGGTGACTTTAAAACGTTTTGCGAAGCGTTTGTGGTTGAATTTTACCTTAAATTGAGGCTTATATTACGTATAATAACATACCTAACATATATATGTTGGGAAATTAATAATTTTGTAATTAAAAGTGATATTTTTTAGGCGATTTTTCATTTGTGAGAATATTCTTAAAAATTATCGTGTTACCATGACAACTACTTCAGATACTTCATGTTCGGAAAATAGAATGGTTTTGTCAGCAAGGCGAGGGTTTCTGCATGCATGTATTTTCTAGTTTAGGATATAATATAATCATAATTAAATTTAGAGACATTATATAAGGTATATTAATTAATTAATAATACAGTCGAAACAGTTAGCTATTAGGTCATTTATTAATTCAGTAGGATTTGGATAAACTTTTGTCTTTTTTAACGAGAAAGGATGTGACGATAATACCATAAACAGTAATTATAATATTTTGTTTGTGGAAATACCACGTAAATTTATTACTGCAAATTTTTTACGTAAATTTAATTACGTAGTTAATTAAATAATTAATTACGCAACTTTTAATAAATAGTAATTAATTAGTTTAAAGATAAAGAGCAGAGCCCAGCAAATAACTTTTAAACCAAACATAATAAAAGTAAGAATTTAATTAGCTAACGTTTCGTTGTTTACAATACAACATCTTGTAAACAACGAAACGTTAGCTAATTAAATTTTTACTTTTATTATGTTTGGTTTTAAAGTTATTTGCTGGGCCCTGCTCTTTATCTTTAAACTAAGATTTCCGTCTGGTGTATCAATTGCCACAGTTTTAAATAGTAATTAATTACTTAAATTTTTTAACGTAATTTATTACTGTAAATTTTTTACGTGGTGTTTCCACAAAAAATATCATATTATCATAGTTGATAGAATAGATGGTTTGGAAACTCATGCATTAGAATAACAATATAACTCATTATCTATGTTAGTCAACGTTTATTCATATATCTGGTCGTTCACCGTCACGTGTGTATTGTATTTTTGCGCAACCAACTAATAGCAATGTCTTGGGAAAGTTACCTACTGTATCCGTGACTCGAACATTGCTATTGGTGGATTTGGCAAAAATACAATACACACGTGACGTTGAACGACCAGATTTATAAATAAACGTTGACTATAAGCATAGATAATGAGTTATATTGTTATTATAATGAATTTCCAAACAATCTGTTCTATTAACTAATGGTTTTATCGCCATGCGAACCTACAAAGAACTTATAAACAGTAATTAGTTATGCATGATAATCACATAAATAGCATGCATGGGGATGAGTTAAGCAACGTCGTTGTCCTTGCTAGTTTAATAAATATATCTTGTTCGTATAAATCGTGTCCGGTCGCAACAACTAGCTATTTTAGCTAGCTTCGCCACAGATCAAAGACGGTTGTTAACAACTGGATTAGCACTAACCCTCGGGTAAAATTTACACTGCTATTGTATTGTATGTAGTTTGTATGTTTGTTTATTTTAAGGTTCTAGAACAATCGGCCCCAGATATAGACATGTAATTAAGGTAAAAATGCTTTGAGAAATTTGGTTACGAAATGTTGTAAAATACGGAATATATAGCCTTGCGAAATTAGCCTTTTTTGCCAGTATATTTGTATTACGTGCGGAATTGTTACCATTTCTGAGCCGAAACTGGTAACAATTTCCGCACGTAATACAAACATATACAAAATTTTAGATCAAAATTTCCGAAAGTTCGTCAATTTTCCGTGAAGGTGGGGGGGGGGGGCGGGCGCCCCGCCGCCCCACCAAGTTTTCCGCCACTATTTGGAAACTTTGCAAGGCTATATTTCCAAGCCTTACAACATTTCGCAACCAAATTTTGCAATTTTACTAATTTCATTATGTTCGTTTTAGCTGTGGTGTTTGATTCCTTTCTCTTTAATTACATTAAAATTTAATCTAACATGCAAGTTGCCATTATACCGGCTGTATAATATCATGTTTGCGTGAATTTCTATTGTTCTATTGTGCTGTATTAGTAACTAATTCACTCGCCTACTCAAATGTACAGGTCGTATTAGAACTAATACGACCTCAGTTGACGTCACTACGGGTCGTATTAGTATTACCACATCACCTGGAAAGTTTGAGCAAAATTATCACAAAATTACGCACTGAAAAACACACAAACATTTAATTGTTATCATTACTTGCTAATATAGACATTTACCGTCCCAATAAAGTATTATTATTACCATTTAAAGTATTATTATAGGATGGTTCACTTCTAGAATTACTTTCATACATGTCTAACGCCTGACTTAATACAACGTCACATAAATCTGATTCCTCATTAAATTGTTCAACCCAATCCAAATTACTTTCATGCACAACTTTTGATTCTACAGATGTTTCATTTATTACACACGTATCTGCAGAACTACACGAGCTCAACGCCTCTGATACCCGTTTCGTATCATCTATATCTAAAGTCTGGTACTCCAGTAGACTTTCCAAACTGCGATGACCAGTTCTTTTCAACGCCATTTTGTCAGGAATACCTGCTTTCAAAAGTGTTGTAGCAGCTGTCGCCCCCCTTCCTGAATGATTTGAGTAATGCCCCTCGAGACCAACCAAACTGCAAATTATTTTATAAGTCGATGCAAGCGTATTGCGCCCAACTGGTCGGTTTTCATACCACGATTCGTTTCCAAAACACCATTTCGTTTTCGCCTTCAAATACAAGCTTGAGCTATCTGCATCTAAAGGACTACACAAAGAAATATGTTAACAGAGCGTGTCGTAAACACATTTTGAATTTGAACTTAATAGAATTCCCTAACTTTAACACTTCAATGCACTTGCACTTTGCAGACTATAATTACCATTTTGACATGTAGAAATTGAATACAAAGGTAAATGACTTTGGATCATTGCCATCTTCAATATGTTTGACTTCTTTAGGGGTAATTTTCCTTCTCTTCAGCCCGCCTTGGTTAACCTTGGAACTTTTCTCCCGATAGGTAACAATAGTTTTTCCATCCTCCATAGTCTCAAATTCAAAGCTCTCCCGTGTTAGGCTTCGATGCTCTTGCCCTCCCCGTAAAGCAAAAATCTTGCCGGCCAGAAACACCAATGTATCGAGCAAAACACCAGGCGAATGAGTCCCTAAAGCGCCCGTAATCCAAAGTTTTTCTTCCTCGTTCACACTAACCGCATCTGCTTTCTTAAGCCTGCCGCACACGAGAGCTATCTGCTGAGCAAAAAGTTACTCGTGCCTGTTAGCTCAGCTGATAGCTCACCGATCAAACATGTTTGATACGTGAGAAAAGGTTGCATGAGGCAAAAAACTCAGTAAAATGTACCCGCACACGGTGAGCTATCGGCTGAGCTAACAGGCACGAGTAACTTTTTGCTCAGCAGATAGCTCTCGTGTGCGGCAGGCTTTACGAAAGGGATTTTGTCTTGACTGTAGAGCCTTCAAACGCCCATCCAGAGCGTCTTGAAATGGTTTTAGTTCTGGCGATTTAAACAGCACGAGGTTACGGTGTGATTCCCGAATGACACGGTTTAGCGCACAGAATAGGGAGTAAAGCACTTCGTGTCGGTATTCCTCGCCGTTTTTTTGTCTCACATCAACACAAAATTTCGACAACCAATAATTTATTTCGTCCACGCTTAACAAAGAAGGATCCTCTGGAGCTATAGGAAATTTCGGATTATCCGGCTGAAAATCTTTGAACGCTTCGTTTCGACTTTCCGCACAGTCTTTATAGACATTTACGCCCCAAGATGTGTGCTTTCTGGTATTTTTTGGTATTGCATCTTTCCGACAAGCCACAACATTCTCTTCAGTACAGAACGTCTTATAACGCTCCGCCAACATCATTGACAGTGTCTGAACACTGATTTGGGTGAAATTCACGCAATTTCGATCCCGCTCGGGTCAATTATTAAAATTAATAAATGACCCTCGTCGAGCGGGTGGTTACGTTTAATGACTAATACTCCTCATTTCATGATATTACTTATAATAATGATGTAATACTGGCCGGCAAGTAGAATTTTAGTATCTTAACTTATTCTTACCGTGGTTGATACACGTGTTCGGCCTCGAGATCTATTTCGGTATGATAAGCCAACTCGATATAAGGGATAACATCGCAAATATCATCGAATGACATATCGCCACCACTACGTAACTGATGTAGAATCTGTTGCATCCATGTTGTGCCGCATTTTCGTGGAGTCAGGACGAACACGTCGTCTGAACGAGGTTTAAAACTTAAACCTCGACTTACTCCTTCTTCTGTTGTGACGACAGATAATCTCTGCATCATGAGCTGCATCCCTGCACTTACATCAGCAGGAGTCTCAAAAAACATTCTCAGGAAAATTACCGCGAAACTCGATGCAAGCTGACTCTGAGAGGTTAAATGTTATTACTGGAACAATAATGGAAGTTAACAGATAATTAAGAGGGTAATTTGAATATGTAGAGTATTTAAGACATGAATATATTAGGTAAAAACAACGTGGGTCTGGCCTCATAGGCCATTTGCTCTGACCTCGAAAAGTGCCTAGAAAACGATTTTCATTTCCCATGTCTTGGAACTGAAATTTTTTTTCGGGACCTAACACTTTTGAACAGCTGAGTTCAAATAAATCCCGCTCTATAGACCTGTAGTTTTCTCACAAACTGAAATTTTATCTTCACTAATTTCACGACAGATTTTTTCATTGCTCAACGACACGGATCAATGACGACAAACGATTATGTCACTCAAAAGGACCAATTTCTATTAACCAGTCTTCCTTTTAACACAAGACCAGTTTTGCTGGAATCATTTTGAGTTATGTAATATTATGCGTGTTGGACGTAAATAACATATCTTGTCTACAACTTTGGGAAGGTACAGATAAAGCTTTCTAAAATCCTCGATTCTGTCTGTATCTCTATAAAATTACAAGGACGTTAATGCTAAGTCTTTTGGCTATGTCTCAGGTTTGAGAAATAATTCCTTACCTACATGCGATCAAAATGTTTTATACGATGTAAACGGTAATGTTATGTAATGGGTCAGCATTTAAATTTCCAGCACAGTTTTCGAGTCGTAATTCAAGAGGTAACTTATCATTGCATTTCAACTATTATATCAGTTGGTGTTATTCTGTGCGATTAGCGAGTATTATTGGAAAGAGGCTTTCATATAGACGTTGAAATCACCAAATAAACAGCTCATGAACACATTTCTCCACTTCGTCGTAGGTTTACAGAGCAGATTTTATACTTTGGCACTGATCTTTGTCTTTGATGTAAACATTTATTATTCCAGTTTAAGATTATTTAAGAGTATCCTGTTGAAAATCTTTTACCAGCAACCCATCGACAATATTTCATTTTAGTGTTGTCTTTGTCGTTCCGTTGGATTCGCGTTACTTTTGTTTTAAATACCTTGATCGCGTTAAAAAAGTTATTTCTCAGCCCAGAGACATAGCCAAAAGACTTAGCATTAACGTCCTTGTGGTTTTATAAAGATAGAGCCAGAACTGAGGATTTTAGAAAGCTTTATCTGTACCTTCCCAAAGTTGTAGACAAGATATGTTGTTTACGTCCAACACGCATATAAATAATATTACATAACTCAAAATGATTCGAACAAAAGTGACATAATCATTGAGTGACATAATCGTTTGTCGTCATCGATCCGTGTCGTTGAACAATGAAAAAAGTAGTTGTGAAATTAGTGAAGATAAAATTGCAGTTTGTGAGAAAACTGCCGGTCTACGGAGTGGAAACTTTTCGGATTTGAACTAAGCGTGTTTGAAAGTGTCAGTTCGAATTCCCGTAAAAATATTTCAGTTCCAAGACATGGGAAATGAAAGTAAACGATATCGGGACGCAGCAAACGGCCTATCATTCGCATAGCGCTTTTCTCGAACTTTAGTTTCAGCATGGATAATAAAATAAATGGATAGGACTCTCGCTGACGTAAGCAAAAACAACCTAGTTGCAATCTGTGACGTCACGCGTATTGCAAAGTTCTCTGCATTTTTGTTGTTTCGCTATATTTTCCGCATTAAAAGAGCAATATTGAAGCATAAACCGGTCTAATTGTTTTAAAAACATGCCTAAGCCACGACAAAGTATTCAAGGTAAATGTTTTTCGTCTTCGTTTTGTATTTTTTTACATTTGTAGCTACGAAATTGACGTCCCCAATTTTAACGAAATTTGGGATGCCTTTTTCACTGTTTAGTGCTTGAAATATTTGCTAAAATTGACTGGGAATACTTAGAGATTTCATCGTAGAATGGCGTAGTTATATTCATTTGCTCTTTGACTAAAATGTTTAGCTGTATTATTGCTAAACATGCCGTTTTTGAGAATTTGGTTTGCAACTAGGTTTCAACATCCAATCACGCCATCAGCCCATTGAAAACATTAGATCACGTCAGCTAGTTTCCTATCCATTTATTTTATTATCCATGGTTTCAATGTAATTCGTTGCAAATTTCATGAAAATGACTGAACAATTCAACTCGCCACCTACCACTGACATCCACGAGCATTCCTGTGGTTTCAATCGGTACTCCTTCAGAGTAGAGAATTTTGAAAAGCCATAAATATCATCTTGATAAATTCTTGCAAATTTCATAGTTTATACCGTGTTTTCTTACAACTACTGTTTAAGATATTGTCTTATAATATATATAGTAACAATTTGCCGGTAAAGGAATTTGTAATTAATTCCTTTTTTCCGCAGTAATTTTTCCATTGTACTTAATTACATTTTAGAACAAGTAATTGTAATCAGGGATTTATTACATTTTAAAGCAGGTAATTGAAATTAATTCCTTTTTCAGTGGTAATTTTGCAGCCCTGTTAGTATTTATAACTGAAGTTTCGTTTCATCGATTGATTATCCGGACAAAATAATAAAATGCGGACGGCGCAAAGAAATGCATAATAAAATTGTTTAATTTATGAAATAGGCCGTATTCCCTGACCGCTTTTCGTTCAGTTTTGTTGCCCCCCTTCGGGCACTACTTTAAATTCACACAAATCTATACATTTTTATACGCTGAGTACGAATTCACTTGTTGTCACTCGCACAAACCTGCAGTTTTTTTGTATTTTACGATCAAACATCAACATATTTTATTAAAATTTCCGCCATTTTGTTCAGGAAACTTCATGTTATATACAATTATTGTACTAGTTCAAGTCTCTTAGCAGGGGGGTTGCACGCGGTATTACGCATTTTTATCATTTTCTGAGGAAAATATACGTACAGAAATAAAAATATAGATATTTTTTCACAATATTAAAATGCAAAAGGTAATAATACATGTTTGTATATAATCAGGAACTAATCTACTATTCTTTATTGCGCCAACTTTTGGGTTTTTGGCCTCACCTTGATGTGAAATTGCAAAGACTGTCACTATATGGTCTATATCCACAAAGACTCACTTGACTTGTCCTTGGTAAAGTTGTTTATTTTATTTATTACTGAAATTATGTACATAATTTTAGCCTTACAATGTGAATAGGCAATTTTTT